TAATATTGCCTTCCAAAAATCGAAAAAATTAATTTATTAAATAATTGTGGAAGAATTTACTGAATATTCAATTTAAGATGTTAAGTTTTCCTTCTTTCGATTCAAAGTCATTGAAATAAGCAACTCAAATAAAAGGACAATTTCATTCTATGTAACATTTTTATTTTTAAATATCTGAATTTTTTGTCATTGGATTTTTAATGTATTTGAACCTTTTGACCAGGACAAAAAATCCAGAAAAGAAGTAATTTCATTTACTTTGGATATTTTTTTTTTATTTTGACTTCTTGTCCGGATACCAAATAGTAGCATAACTTAAAAAAAAGCAGTGAATAGTAGGTTTTAGTAGAAGAGTGCGAAGCCTGAAAATTGTATTAATTTTTGCATGCATATTTTTTATACACCTGAGAAAAAGTAGGTACTGTTTTCGACAAAAAAAAAATCAAACATTGAGAAAAAACTTGATCGATAACAATGAATCGAAATAATAGTAGGTGCGGACTTTGGGACTTGCGTTGTACAAAAGGCAAGTTTTCGGTCTATGGGCGCGCTTCAACATCAAAGTGTAATAATTGCTGAATAATGAGCGGGTGGGCTTTGTCGGCATCTATTGGTTGCCAGGTGTCCCTGAATGCGGACAATAAATACGTTCTGATGGATCTCGGAATTTAATGGAAACTGAGCTCGTGCGCACGTACATTTCGTGTATGTATATAGATATACTCGACGTATATAATTATATATAGAAGAGCGTCAAACTCAAAGACTCGTTACGGGCAAAAAGGGGATGTGTCCCTGTCAAATAGGGACAGAGGGTGCCGACAAGATCCTTCGGACAAAGCAAGACAGACAACCCTAGCTTCTGTACTTCATGAAGCACCATGAGATAATTTCTTTTCCAGCTTTCTCTCTTTTACTTTTTAAAGCACTCACAATCAACATTTTTCTTCTTTTTCTCTGTCTCTCTCACTCTCTCTCTCTCTCTCTGTCTTGTGTGTGTTGCCTTAAATGAACGAATTTTTCTTCCTTCCTCATTATTTTCAACTATACTTTCTCATAATTTCAATTCATTTCACGTTTCTAACAAATATTTGTTTATGCAAATTTTTTTTTATTTTATATTTTTTATTTATTTTTATTTATTTTTTTTTCTTTGTATATTTTTTATTATTCAGAGAAATTTTTATTTGAAATAAATATAATATATTTGTGTTAAATAAATTTGTATTTGACTCACAGCCTTTTCATTTGTTTCGAATATCCAAATTTTTATTTGGAAACAATAAATTTTTTCAGCGGAGATATACAATTTTTATTTGAACCAAATAAAACTTATTTGAACTAAATACAATTTATTTGAACCAAATACAATTCATTCGAAAGAAATACAATAATTTATTTGAACCAAATACAATTTAATCGAAACAAATTCACTTTATTTGAATCAAATAAAATTTATTCGAAACAAATAAAATTTATTCGAAACGCAAATACAATTTATATTTGATTGTGAGAAAAATATACTTTTTTCTTTGGATGTAAAATGAATTATAAATTCGCTTTCATAAGTAATTTCATACAGAAAAATTTTAATTAAATTAAATAAAATATACTTGAGTTAAATAAAATATTTGTCTTTAAATTTAAAGTCCACTAAATTATTTACTTTACACAGATAAATTTATTTTACACACTGAAAAGAATTTTTTTTGATACAAATAAAGGATAATTTGTCTATTATTAAATAAATATTTCTTTCAATCAAATAATTTTTTTAAATTCCATACAATTTTTATTAAATGTTATTACTACCTTTAAATATTGAAAATATTGGTTCAAATCCAATTTAATTGAATTAAATAAAAATTAATTGATTCAAGTATAAATATTTGTTTGTTAGGCAGGTAATCGCGGCTATTTTAATCAAAACAATTTTTCTCTTAATTTAACTAGAAAATTAACTTTTAAATTAATTGTTGTTTTTAATTAATTATTCATATTCAATTAGTTGCTTATTTGTTTATTTACTTATTTGATGAATATATGGCCAAATTGTTATTAAATGATTAAAGAGAAAATATTGTTATTAAAATTTAGAAAGAGAAATTTTTTTTTGACTTTTATGCAAAAGAGAAATTAAAACGATGATATAGTAATTTATCAAAATGATAAATTTCCGATGATTGTGGCAGAAAGCGTCTATATACGAGTTATTAATTCTGACTCACTGATTAGTCAGCACATGTATGCGCTGATTTGAATCAACTGCATGGCTATAGTTCGGAATGGTAAATCAGAAAAGTTTCTCTTCATATAGGAATTCAATGCGAGTACATTTCAATCAATTTGTTGATTTTCACGTTCAATAAGTAAATAAACATTCTATTGGTATCCATTGACTATTTTCAATGAAATGTTAAAATTAATTGAAAATATTATTTATCCTTTTTTTCTAATCATCTTTTGTAAATATTTAATACAAAAAAATTATTTATAAAAAATTCGAATGTTTAGGAGAATATTTAGCAATTATTCTTTTTCTAAACTTTTACACTTTCTGTATTTTTTACAAGAAAAGAAACTTTGAAAAAAATTCTCGTAAATATCCCAATTATTTTTATAAATAATAAAATTTTTTTAAGGAATTCAATTATTTATTATTTCCATAAAAAATAATTTAAAATTCTAGAAAATATATAATTGAATTAAAATGATGAAAATAATTTTGATGAAGTTACAGTAACAATATTCTTAAAATATAAAATAATGATTTTATCTCTCGGTCATCTTTAATTATTATAAAACATGAAGAAATCGATCACTCCGAGTCTTCGACTCGGAGCAATCGATATCTTCATGTTTCATAACAATACTTTTATAAGTTGTTTAATTTAAAAAAGGTTTGGATTTAAAATTTTTGAATGTCTTAATTCCTGTAGAAAATTCTGTTCCAAAAATAAGATTAAAAATATAAATTGTGCAAATATTTTTCTTCTTTTTCTAAAACGAAATTTAATAATTTTGTTAAAAGAAATTGTGATTTATAAACAAAAATAATGCAAAATAAATAAATTTTCTATTTCTTAATCACAGTTGTTTAACAATTTTCTAATTTTGTTTAAAAGTAAAGAACAAAAATCTACTTAATTTCAATTTGACAAATCATAATATTTAACAAAATTTTAGTCTTTTAATGAAAAGAAGTGAAAAAAATTCTGATGATTTCTATTTGTCGTTACAATTTTGAATTAATTGTAAAATAAAAATATTTATAACATAATATAATATATAATCTATCTAAAGATATCAAAAAACAAAAGTTCAAGCAAAAGACAACTTCAGAGTGAGAGGGGCGGAAAAAGTGAATAAATTATAGAATGAAAGAATATTCAAATTATAAATATAAACTATATAAATTACAAAAAACTTTATATAAACTGTAAATCCATTATTTTTAGTAATTAATTAAATATATAATAAAAAATTTAACTAATTCCAGAAGAATTTGGATAACTATTAATTATTTATGAAAATTGTAAACGCAACTCTTTTAAAATTCAATTAATTTTGAAATATTTAAGTAAAATTATTCATTAAACAATTAAAATATTTATTTTATGATAGTTCTTCAAGAATTAAGTTATTTAAAAAAAAAATATTGTCAAAAATAGAAAAAATTGAAAGTTTTGTATTCGAATTCGAGGTAATTTCATAGTTTATGAGGCAAACAAAAAAGGCACAAAAATTCAGAATTTTCTTATGAATTCTAAAAATTTAATCTTTTCCAGTAATTTTAATAAAAATCACCGATTTCCCTGACCCATTCTACTTTCCGAGACTTTTCCTGACCTGTGACAACCCTGATGATTCTTTAGAATAATTCTAGTCAAATTCTATAGAACTTTCTCAACTGAAAATCAACTATATTTTGAAAAGAATAAAATTGTAAACAAGCATTTTTATTTTGTCGGTAAAAAATATTTCTATTACTTTTAATAATTGATCATAAACATTATGAATTTCGTTGACGAGCATTTAAGTATTTCACAATAATAGGACGAACGATTAAAAAAAATTTTTTTTATACTAATTTTAATAAATTTTTGATAAAATTTTTTTTTGATTCAAACAAATCACTGTTTATTTAAAAAAAGCTTTGATTGAAGCAAGAATTTTATTATTTGGAGAAAAAAAATTTTTTTTTTTTAAATAAGTGACTTAAATAAAAATTATTTGATACAAATAAAAATTATTTGATACAAATAAATATTTATTTGATACACATAAATGTCAATTGGTTACAAATAAATATTTATTTGATACACATAAATGTCAATTGGTTACAAATAAATATTTATTCGATACAAATAGATATCTATTTAATAAATATAAATATTTATTTGTCAAAAAACAAGTAATCCTTTATATGTGAATAAAATAAATTCTAAAGGATGGAAGAAGTTAACAATTTTTTAAAATAAATTCTTCTTACAAATTTTTAATTCTATTAAACAATAAAACACGCAAAATATCGTCATACACTTTTCCCTATACATATAAAAACACCTTTTTTTCTTCTCAAAAACTTAAAAACTTCAGCATTTGCGATTTAGAGAAATATGAAAGTACATTTAAAAAGAAAGCACACGCACGTATATAGAATAGAAGGAGGAGACGTGACATTCAAAATGGAGCAATACAATGAAAGTACCAGGGGAAAAAATTCTGACTTCCTATCACCAAAAGATCAAAGAGAAACTTCCCTCTACTTTATTTTTTTCCCCACGTTTTCCGCGCACCGGTACTCAAACAAAAAAAAATGATTTTATTTAAAAAAAAGAATTCTTCTTCAATCTCTATATAACTAATATTCACGAAGCGATTTTATTTTAATTCTTTTTTTCGATATATTCTATATATATAAATACAGCAACATGTTTGCCTTGTTGACATATCGATACATAACCCGGTGCCGGCTTGTCAAACTCGAAATACCTTACCTGATTGTTGATTAGATTGCACGATAATCCTCACAACCTCGTGTACTCGTCTCTCTCGCTCTATGGAATGCTTGATATCTTCCTGCTTCAACGATAAATCGATTTTCCTTGATAACAATCCAAATACACTGTGGTTATAATCAAAATCCACACACTCTCACACTATGTGATATATTTTGGGAGATTTTCACTTTTTTTCCTGGTTTACACGATTATTTTCTTTTACACACTTGATATGGGGGGGAAATTTAGTTTCATTCGGTTCACAATTCACTTTTTATCAACACTGATTTACGAACACTTGTATCTTATTTCCTTGAACTTCACCTAGTACCTTTATCAGTTGCCTTATCAGTTCAAGGTACCTTCTTTTCCCAAAATAATTTTCCTTAGAATCTATTTTTATTCCGTTTATAAAATTTCTAGCTTATTTTTTAGGATTTTTAGTTTTTACAAATAAAACAAAGTGTATAAATTATACGGTTTGTAAATATTTTTTCGTGTTAGAATACTTAGAATTTAGAATACTTTCTCGTGGTACTTTCCACAATTAACATTTAATTAAAAATGCTAATAAATCTCTTTTATAGAAAAGGTGGTTTTGAATCCCTTTTTCAAAAAAAAAAGAAAATTTGTGAAAAGACGAAAAATGGAAAAGTAGAGAAAAATTGGCACAAAGAGGGAAAAAACAACTTCTCAAGAAGAGATGAGATATTTGAAGAGTTGGGAAAATTGAAAAATTGGAGAAATTCGTTTCATTAGGGAAAAGGGTTGACTTCTTAAATCGTGGCTGATCGGTGGGTTGCCGGTGGCAAAGGCGCGCAAGTAATGAAACATTCGTGCTGTGAGCGCTCGCTTTTATCGACGCTAAGTTGCGCGCGCGCGGAAAATCGCGTGTTCCTCTACTAGGAACACTATATGGAGTTGATATTTGATGTATAAATATATGTGTGTGTGTGATGTTTCGAGTGTCCACACCAACACTAGATAACACGCACACTCGACCACACGACAAACGCACCCGGTGATAAAGTAGCTCACCCGCTTTGCTTACTCTGATAGGAATGTACATATAACGCACACTAAATTGACTAAATGACTGTACAAGTAGGAGTTTATGTATGTGTTAATGCCTATACGTGTATAATAGAGAGAAGGAGGTGCCATACTGGATTTTTTATGAGCTTGTTTCCTCATTTTCACCCTCCTTTTACCCCCCACTTGTTTCTTTTTCTTTGCGGCTTCATATCTATAAAAACCGCCCCTTAGGTACAATTATGTAGTATAGTCAACTGAGGCTAACTCTAATAGTGTATGGTGGAATTTTTAGTTTTACTAATTTACACTGAAAGACTTTGTGTTTCAAAATTTAATATGATCATTTCAAACAGGAGAAAATGATGTTTTTATGTTACCTAATCATACACTGCAAAAAGAAGTATCTTAATTTAAGATGTTTTGGTAGTCATTTCTAAGATGTTTTGGTAGACACTTTTTAGTTACTTGAAACATCTTAATTTAAGATGTTAAAAGTATCTTCGTACACATTTTCTGTGGTATTTTTGGGGCAAAAAGTTTTGAGGTTAACTATGGGCTCTTATGGAAAACACTTTATGTATCCTAGTTTTTAGTAACTTACACTTATGGCGCATCTTACGATTCTCAAGTAACTTATCGCTAAACATCTTATTGCAACAGAAACATCTTAATTTAAGATACTTTAAAGAACTTACAAAAGTATCTTACTTTTCTAAGATGGAAGAAATATCTTCATCACTGCTAAAACAGAGATGCCATTAGGCGGAGGAATTTCATCCCCACTCTTGCGCCATTTTACATTGACTTAAATGTAAAATGGTGCAAGAGTGGGGATGAAATTCCTCCGCCCAATGGCATCTCTGTGCTAAAACGTATAAAGCATCTTAAATATCAGTAAGATGCTTTAGAAAACATCTTATTTTAAAATGTAAGATACCAAATTGCAACGAATTGATACCAAAAATGTGGATTAAATCAAAAACTGATGCAAATTTTTAGCATCAATTTGATCCACTTTAGTATCAATATGATGCTTCAAAGAAAATTGTGTACCATTAAATAACCTAAAAACATCGTTTTTCCCTGTTTGATATGAACCATATTAAAATTTCAAATGAATTATATTAAATTTTGAAACAAATAGTCTTTCAGTGTATATTTGTATCTTAATAAAAAGAAAATCTTATTTTAAGGCATCAGCACGCAGTGTAAAAAATAAATCTTAATTTCTGTCCCGTTTTGACTAAAACTGTTTACGTTAGAAATATTATTGACCGAATCTTATAGTCTTCAAAGTATTATTTTATGTCCTAAAATTGACTTAATCTAGTATTAAGCTTAAAAATAGACTAGTTTTCAATCATTTTGGTTTTTAGATGTAAACGGTTTCAGACTTTGTTTTTTTTCTGTGCAAGCCTGACTTAAATATAAAGATGCAACATTTTTAGGATATATATTAGTCAATACTAAATTTAAGCTATAAGGATTTTGTATGATTTAACATTATACCAGACAGTGCTGACTTTAAGACTGATCTTGAATTAAAATTTACTTTTTAGTTTTTAGGGTAACTGCACCAATTGCCGAGGGTGCACCAATTGTCGAGGATCATAATTTTCTTTTTTAGATAAATAGTATAATATATAATATTTAAGAACAAAAAAAATTTCTAAATAAACTTTGTATTTTCAACTGTATATTTATACATTCAAATTTTGTAGCGATTCTACTAAAAGAATTATTTAATTAATATTATAATTCACTGCTGTGAAATTTACTCGAATCTCCATTTTCTTAATACTTCAGGTTGATTGAAACAGATTTTTAGAAATGCAAATTAAACGTATTTATAATGACTTTTTGTGTACAAAATTATTATTATAATTTTGTTCAAGAACTAAATTAATTTTGTATGCATGTTTTTTTGTTAAAAAAAAATATATAATATTTTTTAAAAGCAAATCATCGGTATTTGGTTCCTTTTTTTTGACAGTTCCATTTTTCGAGGTAATGCCTCGAAAATTGGTGTAGTCACTTTTTTCGCTGATGCACCATTTCTCGATAGTTAAGTGTTTATTTACTAAACGTCAAACATAAATGCCAAACATTTATAGGTACAGAGAAAAAGAAATCAAAATGCTCCAAAAATTTACAAAAACAGAAATTAAACACCAAAAAAACGAGGAAGAACGAAAAAAATTAATAAAAAAATGCATTATTTAAAACTAAAAAATGTTGTACTACAGTTTAATTATAATCAACCATTATATTTACAGTTCGTAATAAAAGTTTATTTTATTCGTTTACAAATTTAATGTGACTTAAATTAATTTATTTTTTCAATTAATGTCTGATTAACAAAATTGATTTAATTTAATGAACTTATTTATAAAAGTTTAAAAAACAGTTAAATAATTTTCTGTCCTGTATCATCTACTATAAAAAAGGTTTTATATCGATATTATAAATTATTCAATTATAGATAAATAAATATATTTGCTTTCTGGTAATGTTCTATAATATTTTTATCAAAAATAAATATCTACTTGATTTTCAAATATATGTACAGGTTAATTGTTAGGTTATATTGGGTTATAAGTTTAAAAATGTCATACCCTCGACAATTGGAACAGACCCTCGAGAAATTAGCACAAGACCATCGACAAATGGTGCTTTTGCTCGATTGACTTTTAAATATATTTTTTGCTTAACAATTTAGTTTATATTAAAAAAATAAATATTAATATTAAACATTATTAGATCCTTCGTCCAAATATACAAAAATCAAATTTTAAAGTGCATTTACTTCCGAGAAAAAAAATGTCAAAGTCACATGTTGCCTAAAACCATCGACAATTGGTACAGTTACCCTACTATGTGATCCTAAATTTAACTTTGTTTCAAAATTGAACCACTTATATTCACTTTAGTAAGAATTTTTACTAAATTTTAGACATTCTTTTGTAAAAGTTTACTCTATATCTGAAATAGCTATAAGTATAGATCTACTACTATAACCATTCCGAGTCAAATAAGAGAAAAATTTTACTTACTTATTATAAGAATATTGTAATTATTCAAAATTATTTTCATCATTTCAATTCAATTATTATTTTCAAGGAATTTATACCTAAAATTCTTCTTTAAATCAATTATTTTTAATAATTTCAGAAAAAGTTTTTTGAGAATTTTCATATCCATTTATTTACAATTCAATTTTACGAAATTTCGATTACTCGAAAATTCTTCAATTAAATATATATATATATATATATATATATATATTAGAAATAAAAACTTCAAATAATTTCAAAAAAAGCTCAACTTAACTTTTTCAAGAAAACGAATTTCAAAATTCAATTATTTCTAAAAATTCACCCTATAATGCTTTTAATATTCAATTGTCTAAAATTTTAACTGAAATTAATTTTTAAATAAATTTTTATTAGAAAATCCAACTAGAATTCAATTATTTAAATACAAAAATGAATAATTTATTGAATAATTCAATGCTTCTGAAAATTGAATTGTCATAAAGAAGTTTATCAAAAAATTTTTAAATAATTGAATTCTTTCGACGAATTTTAATAAAATTTTTAGGAATAATTACATTTTTCGAGAAATTCGATTAAAATTGTATTGAAAATAATTGAAATTTTGCGATAAGTTTTATTATTTGTGAAAATAATTGAATCCCTGAGAAGAATAAATTTTATTATTTTTTAACACAATTAAATTTCTACGAAGAAGATTATTACTTTTGAAAATAATTGAATTTCGGCAATAATTTGTAATTTCTCTATAAAATTAAATTTTTTTATTAGTGTTTTTAACTAAAATTCCTCTATAAATTTATTATCGTTAATAATTTTTGAAAAAGTTCCTTGAAAAATTTCAAATTCATTTGATTACAATTCAATTTTACAAAATTACAATTATTCCGAAAATTCTTCAATTAAATATAATATTAGAAATTAAAAACTTCAAAAAAATAATTTCAAGTAAAATTAAAATAAACTTTTTCAAAAAAATTAATTCTTCTACAGAATTGTTATAGTTAAATTGAAAGTATGAAACATTAAAATATTTAAAGATTTTAATTTTGAAACCTTTTACAAAATTCAATTATTTCTAAAAATTCACGCTATAATGCTTTTAATATTCAATTATTATAATCTAAAATTTGAAGTGAAATTCATTTTTAAATCAATTTTTATTAGAAAAATCAAAGAGGATTCAATTATTTAAAGACAAAAAAAATAATTTATTAAATAGTTGAATATTTCTTAAAATTGAATTCTCATAAAGAATTTTATCAACAAATTTTTAAATAATTGAATTCTTTCGACGAATTTTATTAAAAGTTTTAAGAAATACACTTTTCGAGGAATTGCATTAAAATTGTATTAAGAAGAATTTAAATTCTGCATTGAGTTGCATTATTTATGAAAATAATTGAATTTCTAAAAAGAATTTTATTTACGAAAATAATTGAATCCCTGTAAAAATTTAATTATTTATGGAAAACAAAATTTCTGAAGTTAAAATTACTAATATTTTTACTATTTTGTTGTAAAACCCAAATTGTCATGAATTTTTTCAAATATATTGTCAATTCTTTTTATATTCGGTTTTAATTTGTACTATAATTTTTACTATTTTCATCGTAAATCCCTGACTCTCATAAAGTCTTCCCAATTTTTTAATAATTAAGTTTATTTTCTGTTTCACTGTTACTCCTATTTTTCAATATTTTTATAGTAAA